ACATTGCACAAATTATTCCGACAATCGACTGCGTAAACACATTTGCTTGTTATTATTTTTTCATTAAATACATTTAATATCCTGCTTACCAGACCTTTCTTATTATATCTGAGTTTAGATGTATTTGTCATGATGACTAGGTGCAGACATGACTTATTAATAAGAACTGACGAAGTAATTGGTGGCATATTTTAGTGTAAGCTAAATCTAAATACGATTGTTAAAGCTCAACGAATTCAATAATTCGTCTGGTGTAGACTTGAATTTACGCTACATGTCAACAGCCTTAGTCATATGGATTGACATCACGCTTTAAGTGAAACATTAGTAATGCAATACTTTCGAATACACGTAACCGTATAAGAACTGGGACTCGAATGCAGTGCCTAAGGTATGCCTACTATTGTCCCTAAAGACTTGTATATGACTATGATACTTATGCACGTTAGCTAACTGAAATACTTATAATTTAACACGTATGCTGACCGACATCGTTCCTACACAATTACACTTACGTATTGTTAGTAGTGAAAGTCCTAGAGAGCACCGGTCTAGCATGCCGTGCTCACAAAGTGAACACATGAATTGAAAGACAACAAAATTTACATGAAAATTTTATTTTCATTATGACAAAAATTTAGTTTATTTACATATTAAGAACACGATTGATTCCTGCGATTACTCCGTCTGCATAAGCATTGGCAAACACTTCTCCAAATTTGTCATTAATTCTGTCCATACCCGCATTGATAATCTTCTTTTTGGTATCGTATATGTTACTTCGATTTCGAGGGATAACTGCTGACGTACTTTGAGATGCGAACAAGTTGCGTGACCACGTCCATTGTTTACAATTATGCATCACATGGTTAACTACAAAAGGTGGAACAAAAAAAGTTAAGATAACTATGAACTGATTATTACATTACATTATACATTAAAAACGTAGTCATAAAAACGCAAATATACCTGTGAAATACGGCTTTCTGAAGTGGACCAAAAGCAAGTGTCGGCAGGGGTACCGACAGGTCTGAAATGTAAAGCACGTGCAGGTGCAAGCACTCAGATCAACCTGCACTGTATTCCCATTTTCTTTGAAAAATACATAATCAAAGGATTCGAACTCAACAGTAGCCCATCGTCGCAATTGGTATTCACGTATTACCTTCCTCGCGGCGTATGGTGTAAGCAACCGTATAATTGGGATTAAACTTTGTGAACAGGGATACGTGAAGCATCGTGATTGAGCAATATTCGCCTCCTGCTGTATTATTGAAAAACTTCGTTTATGCCATTTATACACCTTTAGCATACTTTTATGCAGACTATCAGATCTTTGCAAAAACCGTTTCATCTGCTTGTGGGAACTCTCGACACGATTATTTGTATCGTTCCCAAAAGTCAGCACGTTATCTCTGAAACAGGCCGCCCACAATTCTCGTCGATGCATCCAACGACGTTGTAGGTATTGACTGACATTAGCATCCAATCTGCTAATAACTCTGAAGTAGAAATTAAATCTGCAAAATGAGAACAATAGAGGCATTACTCTGATCTCCTTTTACACTGCACTAGACGGCATAAGTAGTTCTTCACAATGGGATTTCTTGTCTACGAATAAAATGTAAAGTATGCTTTGAAAAACTTACTTTCCGACAGAAAGCTCGGCAAACATGGAAAGAACACAAAACAATGTGCGCTTGTCTGTGCGTTAACTTGACGGCTGCTATTTCAGCTTGCGCACAATCCATAATGAAGGATTCTGTTTTCGAGGTGTCTTCCATTATTTGCCGGAAACAGTCTAATATCCAAACTACATCTCGTTTGAATTCTTTTCTAGTCCACGCAAATAAAACTGGTCGTCCACGACCAAAATTATCCGTCACAAGTAGCTGGAACAAAGAATACCTGCACGTTGACTAATGAATTGGTAAACTTACTTCCCCTTATTCGTATTATACGTCGAGTCGATACCAACAACTTCAGGGAACTGTTTATACAATTCCATTTGCTCATAAGTTGCAAAACAAATTCTTGTTAGTGAATTCCTGATCGGTTCATCGGAATAATACTCCATTAACTTCCCACGGGATTTTAGGAATTCAAAAATGTCACGACGACTCGAAATACCTTAAGTATGTAACAAGTACGTCAACGTTACCTTTATTCACTGCGGCTTTCATATTTTTAACGTCAATGCGAGTTATATCCTTGTTGTACTTCTCCTTAACATGCATTATTATTTCATCGGATGAGTGGGATTGCTGAAGAAGTGGTTCAATATTTTCTTTCTCTTCAACTGTTAGTCGTCTATACCATGGGTCATTCTGCATGTACACCCTGCTGCATGGATGGTTATGCACCATATTGTGGGAAGCAATTATGTATTCACTATAATGCAAAACCACGCGAAATGAAGACGAGCAATTGCAACATTTAGACCTGCAATATTCATGAAATCATATTACACTTCTTCTTACGACTTGTTTTTCAATTTCAATCCAGGTCTTGTACGATTCACTCCAAAAGTGCATTTAAAACCAACATAAGCGTACTTAAACCTGGCATCCGGTATCGTTTTGCTGCAATTATGAACATAGTGAGTGTAGGATAACTACACTGTTAGCATTAAATGACTTCCTCACTTTTTGAAATTCTGCTAATGACTTCTCAAATTCATCCCAGCTGAAGAAACGCTTTCCAAGTATGTATTCAGCAAAAATTCCACTTAAATCTGTGCTCCTGTCACTCGAATTGACTACCTGCAACGGACTAAAATAAAGTTATCAATTAGGATCCATCTATGTCACAACTATTCCAACATAAATCGTAAAAAAACAACATTGAAATACAGGGATGATCGATAACCATCAAGAAAATACCGCACGTATAACCTAAATTACAGAAAAACACAAGAACCCACCGGTTCGTTGACATCGCAAGCAACCAATAGACCAAACAACGAATTGTACGACAAATAATGCCTAGTACATGCACAAACAAAGAAAAACAAAGCGTTACAATAGTCTAATACACGTTTACAGTAATCACATATGCTGGCAAACGACGCAAACACAACCACGCAAATACAGCACCCGACAGCACGCACCCAAGGACAATTCAAACTCCAATTGACCGCCACCATTCTAGCCAATGAAAGACGAAAAAAACTGAGTCGCGGAAAATATAACTCGCACAACCTATATCCTCACCCTTCGATCAAGCATAAGTTCGATGAAAAAAAACAAAAACGAATAAAAGTACATAATAAATTTGTGTAAAACATGTGTTTATGGACTTGTATTATTCTCCGCTTTAATCGCCAAACAATATAACTTCCTTCTTACAATACTGGTATTTTGGAGTTAAAGTCGAAGAAATTATACAGTAATTATCGGTTCGGAGCGAATTCGAGGCAATAGGAACCTGGTTTTAAGCTCCTTGACGCAAGCCATGAATCGATTAAATCGCAACACTACAGATCATCATTGAACAGAGCTTGGAATTGCAGAGAGCTCTCTACCTCAACTTCATTGACTTTGAAAAGACCTTCAACAGCGTCAATCGAGAGGTGATTTGGAGACTACTTCTCTGGTACGGGGTGCCGCCAATAATTATACATATCATCCAACAGTTGTACGACAATGCGTCATGCCAAGTAATCCACAACTGGAAACTCACGGAACCCTTCGAAGTGAAGACGGGAGTAAGACAAGCTGGCTGCCTACTATCTCCAATGATTTTCCTGATTGAGGTAGACTAGATAATGTGACAGAAAACAGGCAGCGATGAAACAGGCATAAAATGGACTCACAAAAATCTTGGGGGATCTGGACTTCGCCGATGATGTGTCTGATTTCACACAACCTGGAGGATATGCAAGTGAAAAGCAACAAGTTGGTGATAGAAGAAGCACCAAAGATAAGACTCTAAAGAAAACAGAGAGAAGACAGAGGTGATGAAGATTCCTGGTCGACAGCAACAGTAACACCAATAGACAACCGGCATAAATGGTGGAAATTTGAAAGAAGCAACCTCCTTCACCTACATACCCGGGAAGCATCATTTCAACTACGGACGGACGGAACTGATGAGGATATCAAGGCGAAGATCAGGAAAACCAGGCAAGCTTCCATTGCTCTCAAGTCTATGTGGAGGTCAGTAGCACTCGGCATGAAAAATATGATCTGGATTTTCAACTCCAGTGTGAAGTCAGTGCTACTATACAGATCAGAAACTTGGCGCGTCATAGAGTGCACCTCAAACACACTACAGACCTTCATCAACAGCTGTCTATGCTCAGTACTACTACGCAAAATCAAATGGCCAGAAAAGACCAGCAGCAGGGATCTCTGGGAGCGAACAAACTCAGCAGAAGCCAATTGTGCAACAAATATGCAGGAAAAAATGGAGGTGGATCGGCCAAACTCTGGGGAAACCATCGAGTGACATCACACGCCAGGCGATCGATAGAGTGGAACCCGAAGTGGAAGCGACGAGTTGTTCGTCCAAGGGTAACATGGAGGAGGTCATGTGAAGAGGAGATAAAAGCATGTTGCAGATCTGGTGCCAGGTGAAAGCTTTAGCAGAGAACCGAACGCAACGGAGACGTGCAGCTGAAGCGGTATGTTCCTCTAGGAATTAAAGGAAATAATAATAATTTCAGATAAATTCATTGTCCGATGTTTTTTCCACTATGATCTTCTTGCAACACGTTTTGCTGGGGGAATGATTCATGATCATAAACAATATTTATGTCAAATTTGTATTATAACTGGTTTTATCAAACATCAAGGCTTTTACACCGTGGATGAGGACCGACGAAATAAAAATGGATCCATACTGTCAACACCACTGCACGTTTTATTTCTGTATGTCAAAACTGAATTAGTTTGGTTTCCATTCACTTTAGATTCAATCATTTATGTGGACATAATCGTTTAACTATCCTAAAGCGAGTTTAGAATCTTGCGCGGTCATCGTATCTTAGTTACGAGGATATGGTTAAAGTCGTAGTTAAGAAAGGAGATCAAGCTTTCTTTATTGTTGACCGCCCATCGTACACTCCTGTCAGTGATTTGATAAATGATATTTGCGAAATATATGATGGTATCCTCAAGATTCATCGGATTTGCGGCGAGGTGGAAGAGTTGTCAAAACATGGTGTTACCTTGCCGCCAAATATGCAAGTATTTTATGGCTATAAACTCTATTTTTTAGGGTCTTACAGATGAGCAAGTTTCCGATTTAAAACTCGAGGATGAGTGGGGTAAAAAATGCACTCCAAGTGGTGGATACGTTGAATGTAAGGATGAAATAGGTAGAAGGAATGGAATGGGTAATTTCTTATTTTCACTTTAAGCAGTACATTCAAATAGCACCTACAGAGAAAATGTCTGAAATACTTAAAAGAGCTGTCGATGAATCAAAACAGTTGATCTCTCGAGATTTGGTCAAGAAAAATATTAGTATCGAAAAGGCTGTTGTTCGAGAATCTTTGATGATGCTAAGTGGTGCGGTAACCATTGTTTACCCTATGGGGCTTCCTCCATATGAACCTATAAAATTGGAGCTAGATAATGAGGAAGATTTGTCAGGAACACAAGTAAGTTTAGTCTTGCTTCCATCTCCAAGCAGGAATTGACTATACCAATCATATGGTAAGGGTATTTTGGGAAGTCATGATAGTACTCACAACAGCTTTCCTTTGTGAGCTTTATCTGTTTGAAATTTTGTGCCTTGAAATATTTCTCATTAGTAATCTGTTAAATAATAAGTCTAGTATGAATTCTCATAACAGTACTATGTTTGAAACTAGAACAGTATCGAAAATCAGCATGCAACCAGTATAAAATCCAGACGATTGCGATCTTACTTGTAATGGGGTTTTCATTATGTAAAGTAGAGCTATCAGTGTGATTTCTCATAATGTACTCGTGGCCTTTACTTTGTGGTAAGTAAAGCAGTATATAGGAATATATATTGAATGAAATTAGTATAAAATCACCCTTGTTGTCTCATTGCTAACAGGTTCAAATCCTTGAATTATTGTTTCAAAGGTTATTTGTCCTAAATAAGGAGCCTAGGATTTTCGAAAATCTGTGAGATGAACGATTTCGAAGTTGACATGCCTAGAACTGCACTTCTAAATTTTGACATAGATTTGAAGTCTACTTATCTCTGCTCTTAGGTCGTTTAATGTCTTCTATTAACCGCCATTATCATGTCTACTAAGTAACTCAAGTAAAAACTAATAAAGACATAACAATAATATAGATTTTTACTTTCCGATTCATGTGTTATTCTCGGAAGACTTCAGTAATCCTGTTCCAGTTTCATGTCAAAAACTGAAGTGAATAAAACTCTGTAATGCCCTAGGTTATGTGCTTAATTGCATTCATCTCCGAAATGTTGTTCCACCAGAAGTTCGGACGTCGTTGAATCCTTATTGAAATCAGGTACAAACACCTAAGCTACTCGAATCAAAATTGAAAGCCTATAGTTCTGTAATCCATAAACCAATATATATATATATATATATATATATATATATATATATATATAAACTGCTACGTCCTGGGTCGCGACTAATCGGACGTGTCCCCGAGACATAGTTCTACACATTGACATGAGGTAGGAATTTAGGGGCATCCATCCCAATAAATTCATCCAGGGGCGCTCTTTCACGCACTTGATATGTTATCGGTTTCCGGTTATCCAATTATCCTAGGAAATGCATTCACTTTAACAGACACATCAGTGAGCATTATAAAGTTGTAAAGCCACCCTGTTGCTTTCTCTCAGCATTATTTAAATGGTTTGTATTCACTAATTAATATAAATCTGCTCACCTATATTTGAGGTGGTGTAACAGCAGATAATTCACCAGATACAATCAGTAAAGCTTGAAATCTGGTAAATCATCAAATGCTACTCATAACAACATTCATCGATAAGATTAACGAGTGTGAAGTGTCAACTAAGATATTGTGACTGAAAAGATCAGTATGCACTGATATTGTATGTAATGTTACGATAGGGTTACACTCGTTTGTGATATTCATATTCATTTAGAAAAATTAAACGTTGGCTTTCCGTTTGTACAAAGCCACCAGTTTGTATTCATGAAAGTGAAGTGAGAGGTCTGCTGTGCTGTTATTTCAAAAAATCAGACGATAGAACTTCTTTTTTGTCTGTGTAAAGATAGTTCTTCTCAGTAGGCTGCTACATGGTTGCAAAGTAGCAACTATGGGAATTCATTGCCACTTTCTTGTGTGATAATTTGCAAGTGAGTAAGTACCCAGCCAGTATCTTAACAAACTCACAGTTGTTAATGAAAATAGTGTAGTGTATGTTCGTAAATCTCATTTCCCTATTATTGTTTTAAAGGCTGCTCAAGATGTAATTATGGCAGAAGATGCTACTCTATGGTTTTCTGGTAAAGAATTGCAACGTGACAAACTTCTTTCTGACTATGTTGGATCCAATGATAAAACTAAAGTTATAATAAAACTATCTAAACGTGGGTCTGGCGCACCAGCTCGCGAACCTATTGTCAATGAAGAGCAACAACGTATCATGATGGCGTATTATTATAAAAAGCAGGAAGAATGGAAGAGGTTAGATGAAGATGATGAGGATGCTTATCTGAATTCGTCATGGGCGGAACCTAATCAGTTGAAACGTCAGTTTCATGGATTAACTAACATAAAGTGGGGTCCAAGATGACATGTATATTCTTATGACGTATATGAATTGGTGCCTCACTAGCCTGATGGTGATATTAACTGTACATATGTATGCACACAAATATATTTTGACTGTGTAAGATAACTGTATTGTAACCTGTCTCTTCGCTAGATGTTCGATGAGACGTTAAGAGGTTTTGTTATTCAATCTAGTTGTATCTGCTCTAGATGTAATCCTACTTCAAGCGACTTGTAACTTTCTGGGAAGTACAACTTGCTGTATTTACGTGATTCTACTTGAGTTGATTTTACTGAACACTTAGTTTCATTACTTTATACCAAGTGTAGCTGTCGTTTGTTGACATAATGACTTCAATACCGGTGATTAGATTAGATTAGATTACGGGTTGAAGGTTCACTTCATCTACTGAGATCTGGATAAGCAAGTAGAACTTTCAGCTCTCAAAAAATAGATGCAGTGCTCAGCCGTGTATGTGTCTTTTGAGTAGAGTGCGCCTATATTGTTATTAGGTCAGTTGATTAGGTGGTTTGAAGTGGAGCCGATAGATATTTAGTCAGAAGCTGAAAACGAACAATGATGAATTCATTTAGCTTGATTAGTGATGAGTTATACTGCAAAGATCAGGTGGAGAAATGCAATATGGTTAAGGCGTTTTATCTGCCTATGTATTTTAGAAAAGGACACTGAATAATTTACTCTATATATTAGTGTAATATCTCTTGTCATTAGTGTTGTGTACGCACGATTTCGAATTCATGGTTTTGACTAACAGTCCACTATATCTTAGTATTAGTAAATTATAAAAAGTTGACGTGTTGTGAAGTAAGGGGCTAAATTACAGAGAAATGGATATAGCATTGTTGAAGTTTGATGAGAAGTAGTCTTAAGTTGTGAGGAAGACAATGGCACAAGTAAACGCGTGTCAGACATTCCATCTGTCTGCAGATTCTCACAATAATTAAAACACATTACTGTATAAATGATATTGGTTTAGATAAATTCTTCAGTCGTCTATCCATAGTAAGTAGTTCTCTGTATGTCAACTACATAGGGAATTTTGTAACAAGAAATGATTAAATAATCTTTAGTTCCAATGGCCATGGAATTCAGTCCAAAGTAAATGTACTTACATTGAGTAGAAAATAGAGTAACTGGGTCTCTCAGCAAGTAGAGAGAAGAAAACGTAGTCTCATCAACCTTGTATGATACAGTTTGGTCAGAAAGTAGTTATTTGTAAAGACTTTATGGTCGGCCTAATATCTGCTAGTCTTGAGTAATGTTGAGACCAAACCTTCACTTACGGAATTCTGTATACCATAATCTGGAGAAATGGTTGATGACTGTGTTTACCTTCCACATAAATGTGTAGTTCTATTTTGGGTCAAATCAAACATGTTGATATGAAGGATGGAGTGAAGGTATTCTTGGTTGTAGTTTCTCTCACCATATATGTTCCAGTGATACAGACTGTCAGTTATGCGTGTAAACGGTGGATGATAGGTCTGCAAATGGTGAAGTCATCTGGATGTACTTAAATAAGTATTTCTAAGATTTACTGTGTACATTAATTTGAAGATTAACGGAGAGCTATAGGGAGTCGCAATGTTGTCGCTACTCAGTCTCATTTTTGCAGATGTTCTTCCAACTGGACCAGAAAAGTGTTCACTGGATGACTCACTCGAAAAATTCGTATTTTATAGTCGATGTGAGATGGTACTTTCGTCTTGTGTGAAAACGAATGAGCAGGGTTGAGCTATTCGGTTTTCTGAGTCACGCATATTTGGTTGTTTCTTCACTATTACTTTACGACTATCATGGTTTGCAATAAAAGCATTGACTGATTGTGTAGTGAGAGCTGACTGTTAGCCAAAATTGGTGGGCAGTAATTTACGTCAGTGTTTATGTCCTCAATATTGGTCGTGAGAAAAATGAGAACGAAGGCTTCGCGTGGGCGGATACAGCTAACATGTAGGTGATCTGACATTCAAGAAACAGCCACAAAGAGATACAAGGTTGACTTTCTGTGAGAAACAACCAACCAGAAGACTGTGTTTTTCTGTTAACAATTATCTATAATAATGTACATGAAAATCTATAAATATGTGTTGATTTCCTTAATAAACGATCTGTTGCCTGGCCCTTGTCTTCTGTTGTTAGAATTGGACTACTAAAATACAATTGATTATTAGTATACACTCCTATTTTATATGACTGACTAATTGCCTTACACTTTATCGTTGTGCACCATGCTGGTTTCAGAGCCATTGTAATGAAACTGGGATGACTTCATCTCGTGGTATTTGTCTTATTATTGGCTTATTTAAATTTATCAAATGAACTTAATATTTTAACAATGGATTATTTTGAAAAAGATAAAATCAACGGAGTGTCGAAATATGGATCCCATATCATCTAACAAGAGTCATGTGTGAAAGGTAAGGCGACAGACTATATAAAGGTTCCCATATCTCCTAAGTACATGGCAGTTTTTTGGAATGGTTAGGGATAAACGAAAACTGAAGTCTTTCAAAACCAATCAGTATTGCCAGAAATACATAGATGTTAGACAAAATAAATTACATACGCCATGGTAAGGCGGGATTAACAGCTGTTTTTTCTGAATGCGTGAGATTGTTTTTAACCGTTCAATGACAACTACTTTCCTGGAATGGAATGACTTTATAAGATCAGTTACATGGCCGGTATCTAACAGTTATCGAGAGATTGGAAAGCTAAAAACTCGCGTACCTTTCAGTCTCAAGTTTCTTGGAGTGCACTCATATATGCGGTCACAAATCCTTCTTTCTGTTCGTTCGATGTATGTGCTTTGTCGCGTACTTGTAAATTAGCATATGCAATTGGAGGTAAAATAAGAGAGGGACTGAATAACCCTAGATTGTCTCGGTGAGCCCTTTATTCGTTGAAATGTGACTAACCCGGCAGCGGGAAAATTTCCTTTGAGGGTGGCCTATATTTAATTCTTCCAGAAACCCGATCAGCTTTGAACCCAAACTTTCGGAAAATTGGCTTTTAAACTTAACCAAATGGTGTTTTTATATTTGGTGTTCTTTTGTGTTTATCAATAAAGTTTTTAGGATGTCCATTGTCACGTAAACACTTCTCAATATTGACGAATTCATGATTAAGTCCTCATTTCGAACAGAGTTTTTCTGTGTGGTAGGAAAAGATTTTCTCACCAGAACTTTTTTTATTGTTAATTAGACAGAAATTATTAAAATGTACATAGTCTATCCCAGAATTCTTTATAGTGAATATACCGTTGTGCAGTTCCATCTATATATTGTAGAACTCCGAGATTCAGAAAGTAAAAATTTCCACTTTATTTATATTCCATAGGGAGTTCTATTTTCATATGTGCCTAGTTGAATAGGTCAATTAAATAGAATGCATGTTCAGTGTCATTATGTGGCTTGTGCAACTGCTGAGATTTATCAGTGGTATACAAAGAGACGTTCATTGGCACAAAAATATCAAATAGCGGAGAGATAAATTGGAAGTCAAAGAGATCAAATGAACCCGTGTTGTGGTAAAACATAGGAGACACGAAACGAAAGCAAAGAAACACGATACGAAGGGCAGAATTAGCACAGCACGGAAGATCTGAGAAAATGACAAGTTTCAGATAAGATGTACATAATTTCGGTGTATATAGAGACACTAAATTCCTTATCTTCTACTGTTTTTTAATTATTGTTTTATTCATTCACGTTCGCATTTGAACATTGGGCTTCAAGCTAGACTCTTGACGTTTTTGTGGCTGTGGTTATTATTTTTACAGGATAGGGTTGCTAGCCTTGTGTCCTACCTTCTCTCTCTACTTTTCTTTATACTGGCTCAGTGAGGTAAAGGAGTGCGTCGGCCGGTGAATGGACCCTGGACCACCTGAGTGGTCGGGGAGCACTCTACCACTGTGTTATTAGCATATCTATCGTAAAATGTCACGTCATCTGTCGTGTAAATTAAGTTTGTCTGTTCAAGATATTTCATAAGTAGATCATTTGGAATATTCTGATGATTATTTTTATACATACTAGCAAATTTTAGTACCTTTTTTATACCTTTCCCTTATGTTATTTAATTGCATTATGTGAAGGTCCTTCACCTATATGATCAACAACTAAATATTTGAACAACAACTAAGTATCTGAATATTTTGTTCATTAATAAAGTTGTTCACATTTGTATGCAATTGAATAGAAACAACGAAATAATGTGACAGCCAGATCAATTCGGTTTTCCTACTTTTTAATGACTTTTTTCTATTCGAAACGACTGCTTAATTGTTTATTCAAGTTATGGCTAATTTTTTATTTTCTTCATATTATACTGTTATTACTTTAGCACATGAACATCTTCCGCATAGTTTTGATGTGATCATTTTGTGTTTGCTATGTACACATCATTCTAACCTACCAGCTACCAGTCCTGAGCTAATTTTCGTCATATCAAATATTTTCTATTATTAATATTGCCAGTAGAACTATTCACGTAATTTCATCGATTTCGAGCAAAATGGCTTTCACGAAACTTCATCTTAAATATTTTGAAATATTCATCAAGGCCTCATTGATTTGCAAATCTTCCCTTCCTTATTTCATTTAATAGTTTCTGCAACATTTATGCATCTCTGGTATTATTTATTTTGAAAAATACCTACCCTCATTCATCCTTATCCTTTTTAAAAAGCTATTAAGCGTGAACTAGTGTCATACACAATTTTTGTCAAACATAATTTTCATTCTTCCATCTTACACTGACTGCAGTTTAGATGAACTAAAGGATGACTTCTACCTGAAACTCTCTAATTTGCTGCAAAAACCAAAACGTCCAGATATAGTTGTTTCAGCAGGCGACTTCAATGCCCAAGTAGACAAGTTGTGCCAGACTGAGATGTAGGTGGTATGTATGGAGTTCCCTGCCGACGAACCGACAACTGTGATCGTCTTCTACAGTTTTGCTCAGATAATCATCTGTTCCTAGTCAGCACTAACTTTAGA